CCACGATTAAGCAGTAAACCGTTGGGAGGTGTAGTATATAAATATATAATAGAGTGTTAAGATTGATATAGATACAATATGGTTTATACATAGTAGTGTATTATATAGATATATAGTATAATAATACACATAATAGTGATAATGTAGTACATACATATAAATATATAATAGAAAATGTAAAAAAATATGAACATGACGTATCTTTTCACCGTACTCAGGTGGCATTATATATATATATATAATAGTTATATATAGTACCACTTACACACATGAATAACCCTGTCACGTGTCGTCCTGTCGTTCGTCCATTGACATAAGCGGGCGCCAGTAAATCTTCCATTTTCCCCTGTTGCGTGCAAGAGTAGCCCAGTCGGTTCTACTTGCTCTACCCACTCGTCGAGCATGATATCGTTCTTCAAGGCTCTTTGTGAAGAGCTCTGACCATCGCTTCAGTGGTCTTCTTGCTACGTTTGACATCTCGGGAATCCAGTCACTAACGGCTCTTGTTCAACGGTTGTCATTCATACGTATTACGTGTCCGGCCCACCTTCGACTGTTTGGCGTACAGAACGGCATCTTTGATTTTTGATCGTTGACGTAGTTCGGAGTTTTGGATCCTTTCCCTTACTTGTGTGAAACGGGATAATCCTGGCATCGTCCTTTCTACTGCGCGTTCAATAACGCTGAATGACGTTTCGTCCTACTTATGCAGTGACCAGGTTTCTGACGCATACGTTAAGGCAGGAAGTACCGTTGAGTTGAAAAGGTGGGCATGGAGTCGGGTGTTCATTCTTCTATTCACTGCATCCCAGGTGCTCTTGAAAGCTCCTCAAGCCATTCCTCTTTGTTCAACTCTAGAGCTATGTCGCTCATCATGTTGATTTCCCGACGTAGATGGAGGTAGCTGGAACATTCTGAGGTTTTAGTTCCGTTGAGCGTGAATGGGGCATGCGTTACTAATATGTTCCTCATGAACATTGTTTTTAACAATACATAGTGAAATCAAATGCATGACGCATTTCTCAGGGATTGATCAACACCAAGAGCTTTGTCCTTTATTTCCCGAACTATCTGAAGGTCGAGCAATTTATGCACTCCTTTAAGTGAGAGTGAGTTGACCCGGTTCGAAGACGTCGTATCTTATCCTTCTTGCTTACATGATCAACTCTTCTGTCGCGGTCTCAGACACAAGTGTGCGTGCATTTTAGGTGAAGATCGTCACCTTTGTTCTTTGTGATTTAGGTAGCCTTGAATGGCACTGAGATTTTAATAGTTTCCGTACTCGTCTTACCTGTGTAGTCGCCGACAATTTTTGGGACAAGAAGAGTTGCATGGGAACCTGGGAACTTTACATGGTTTTAAGAGCCGCTTCAATTGTTGCAACGGTACAATTTTTCTTTGCAGTGGGATTTCAAAATTGAATTTTTTTTGAAACTCGAATTTCTAGGAAAAAATAAGGAGCGACATCTATGTTTTAAACACAGACACGGCAGTAGGAACCCTGGGGATGGATTGATGGCGATCATTATGTTTGTTTCATGTTCGAGTTACAAGGCTACATAGGAAAGAGATCTATTTTGTGAGCTCTGAAAAACAGGATTTTCTCCGCGGGAAATAAAAAGTGTTGTATCTTCTTGTCAAGGATTTATGCAGTATAATGGTTTTTCCACGACCGACTTTCTATTAACCTCAGCATTTATGGAACAATTGTTAATATTCTCGTTTAACAATACAAGAAAAAGCTATAACACCTCGTGTTTGTTAAGAAAGAGTTTAAAGAATTTTTTTAGTTCATTTTGTATGACCCGTTTTCACGTCTACTATGCGGATCCCAGAACCTCTCACATTTGATTCGTTTCTTCGCATCCGTTGTCCACAAAGGTCTTCCAGATTTACGTGTGGCTTTGGTTGCCGCGTGAGGTTTTTCATTCCATCTTGAATGTCTTAGAATGCTGGTCGAGCACTTCTCTCTGAAGCCTTGAGATAGCCGGGCTGGAGCGTTCCAGTTAGATTGCAGAGAGTGGTTTTTCCCAGACAAACCGGATACTAATTTCCCGACCACAGGGGATTAGAGGCTTGGTTGGCCCGGTGCGGAATCGAGCTAGCACCATGCTCACGATGACGGGCATCACTACGACTGTGCTATCCACCTATGAATATAAAGAATAGTGGTTTTTATTCCAATGCTGATTCTAATGCAGAAAGTTCACCGCGGTGATTTTTCGATAATCAGGGCTAGAAATACTATAACAGAACTAATTATGATAACTACAACATTATGTAACTACTATAATGCTGAGATATTTGCAAAACTCCGGACCGCAGGTGTCTGCAGTGGGGAACGAACGCGCTGTTGTCCTTTCCGGTGAGCAACGCGTTCACCACAACACTATGCGTGTTCTTCGTTTCATCTGTCTCTCAGGAAGGACCCACATGGTGTGGTGGTGAACGCTTCCATGTGAATTCTGTGCGGTTGGTCTTCACGCGACATGCGCAGTGAAAGACATAAAGCGGCTCTGAGGAAGGTGAAATCCGCCGAAACGTCGGCTTGTGCGTAAATAAAGAAATAAAATAACACCTCGTGTTTGCTGAACAGGAGTAGAAGGAATTATTCAATCAATGCCGAGCTTAATAAAAAGTCGAACGTGGGAGTTACTATGAATTGAGTTTCTCAAAGCTTGAAAAGCTAAAATATTTCCGACCCGTGCAAGTCATTTATGACCCACGTCGTCCCTGATATGCTAAATATAATTCCAAGTTTGATCCTTGGGCTCAATATCGAAAATATTCGTACGATTGGAAATTCCTGAGATTTTTTTTCAAGTAACGCTGCAAACGGCGATGCCATGTGTTCCGAATATTGTGTCGTGGTGGACGAATTCCCTCTTATTCAATTATCCTGGTGTCCAGTGCAAGACTCTTGACGACAGAAAGAGAAAGAGTGTGATTTATGGGATTCAGAGGGTCAGGATTTCATCACTGTACAGTAAAAGGATCCGTATCTTGGGGAGGATGTGTATATTGCTGTAGATTTCGTTTTAATTTACAATGGTCACCATGACCCGCGTTTTGTCCGATGTTCGCAGGCTAGATTTCCCTTGGTCGCCTATTGACTAATGGTTTTTATTTCAATGCTAAACTGTAAATCGTGGGATGTCTACGACAATAATTTCTGTCCATTGAATTCATATCTTGAAAACGAAACAGTAATGACGAGCAATCGCCTGAAGAATTAGAAATATGTTCCAAATGAGCGTACTGTGAATGGTCTTTTGAGAATTTCTACGCACATGCTTTTATTTTTAGAGGTAGTTACTGTGTACCGGGACATCTACTCTGTATTATTACTAATTTAACTACGATATCTTGGGAGCCTCACTCTACACCAGTAGACAAAATTATGCTTAAAGTGTTTACCGTAATCCTGTTTGTAGTAACTTTTGCCGGAATGGTTCCTATTTGCTACTATGGTATGATTCTCGTGTAGATTAGCCATATTTACTAGTAACCACGTTTATTCTTTCACTCTTTACAAACCGCTATTTAGTCCAGCTTTTCAGGCACCTACGTTTGCCGCCATGCAAACTTTCTGTATAAGCCTTTGAATCGTTATCTGACGAACTTTTGTTAACCAGCTTCCGGTAAACCGTCTTATCTGGTGTACACTTCCGCATGTACCATGTAATGCTTCAAAACAGTCCTATCAGACTGCACTAACGAAGGTAAAGAAAGGATAAAGCTCACAACACTGATCAATACCTGGGAGATACGCTATGTATTCGACTTCATTAAGCATTGTTTGGAGGTGATTGAATGCATGTCTGGCCTTTACAATGACTAGCAATGGCCTCTAACGATGTATCCAGCCAGTGCTGCTATCCTCCCAGACAGCTCTGGTACCAAATTGCCAACCCCGGAGGGATGGAAGGCTTGGTGGCCATGGGAGCGAGGATTGATTCCACGTGTGTGTTGCAGGGCGCCTCCGACCACTGCGCCACACACGCCCTTTTTACTAAAGACGAAACCTCTTAAAATCTCCCTTTGCGCATTAACTCAGGGTTCTTCTATCGAAGCTCCTCCTAATACCTAAGCAAATATAAACACTATTGCTAGTGTTGGAGTGTTACCGTACAAGTAATTTTAGCGAGATGATATCGCCTTGCCTAACTCCTCTTTGGCGTCAATGTTAATATCGTTGTAGAATGGTGATACCTTGGTTGTGAAATTTTTGTACAGCTCACGAAGAATATGTACTGGGTAGGGACTCCTTCACTATCAACAGCTTCCAAGACTGCTTCTATCTCAACTGAATCAAAGGCCTTCTGTAAATCGATGAAAGTGAGACAGAGCGATCTTTTGTACTCTCGCGATACTTCAATGAGCCTTCTTACCGTGCGGATGCGGTCCATCGTACTAAATCCTTTTCGAAACCCTGCTTGCTCACATGGCTGTCCTTCGTTTAGTGTTCTGTCAATCCTGTTTAGGATGACTCGAGTGAAAAGTTTGTAGACAACAGACAGTAAGCAGATTGGGCGATAGTTGCCGATATCGTGTAGCTCACTCTTGAACAATAACACAGTCATGCTGGTCTTCCACTGAGTAAAGATCTTGCATTCAGACAGGTAACGTGTGAAGAGCCGAGCCAATGTGTTTACGAGGACTGCTGGAAGGTTCTTCAGGTGTTCTGGTCTTATCCTGTCCGGACCTGATGCTGTTCGATTTTTCACCGACGAAATGGAATGTCGGATTTCGGAAGGGAGAACCGGTGGTACAACATATCCATCCTCCTTTATTTCATATGACCGAAGGCGGACGTGGCTATCGCAGAGATCCGAGTAGTATTCGTGAATGATTTTCTCCATCGCCTTTCTGGACACTGTAACTGTTCCGGCTGGTCGTCGGAGTGCAATCATTTTGGTCTTGTAATTGGTGAAGCTTCTATGGGCTTTGCGAATGCTTTTCCCAGCCTCTGCAGCTTCGACTATTACTGCTGCTCTTTTCTCTTTAAGATCTTCTTTTATCGCCTGCCTGCATTGTTTTGCAAGTTCGGACGTCAGTTCGCGGTTGCCTGCATCTCGTGCGATTCCACGTTGGCGTTTCAGCTCGAGTGTTTCTGGAGGCAAACGTCTCTTGGTGACTTTTGAACTCTCAGCTTTCATAGCGCAATGTGAAGATGTTGAATGAGTCGATCGTATCGATGTTATCGACAACGGCACCTTCCCCACAGCAGACTAATGAATTGAATAAGTCCCAGTTTGCGGTGCTTCTGGGGCTTCGGTTTTGGAACTTGGAGGCTTTTTCTCCTTTCTACGAGAAACAGAATCTTGCACAAAGGAGACGATGGTCTGATCCCATGTAGAATTTTGGGACAACGGCGACATCGGTTAGGCAAAACCTTCTATTTATTATGGTGTGGCCTATTTCGTTATGGTACACTCCATTGGGAGACTCCCACGTCGAGCGCTGAGGGTGCGGCTTCTGGAATTGCGAATTACCATGGATTGTCTTGATCGCCATGATAAACTCAGACAGCCACTCACCCTGTTCGTTCCATTCTAATCCGTGGGTCCCAATGTGACGTTCTTTAGACGTTCTACTTGGTTCAATCTTGGCGTTGAAATCTCCACTGATGACCTTGAAGAATGTGTGGTCTTCTCTGTAGAACTTCTCCAAGTCCATGTAGAACGCTTCGAATTCTTCGTCATAGTTTGGTGTCGGCGCATAAACGACGAAGATTGTCAAAGCCAGAATTGATCCACGTCTTTTTAATCGTAAACGTCCGATTCGGGTTGTAAGTTGTTTGAATGAATCGATGTTCATGGATAAACTCGTGTCGACGAAAACGACGACGCTGCCGACTCCTCTAGTGTCGCATGTTCCGAAGAACAGTTCTTCTCCGGTGTCATAGGCGGCGTTGAGTGGGTGGTGACGCCTCGTCTCGGCCAGGCCAATGACTTCGTACCTTATCCTCCTCGCTTGCATCATCAAAGCTTCTACCGACGACTTGGATGCAAGCGTACGTGCTTTGTAGGTACAGACCGTCACCATAGTTTTTTGAAATTCGGGCAGCTTTTATTGGCCCTGAGATTATAGAAGCCTCTCCGTACTCGTGCTACCCAACGCTGCGAAATTGGAGGCTTTTTTGTGCTCAGGAAATAATGCCCCTTTCTTTTACTGTGTTTGGCTTTTTAATACCCACGTATAGCTTGCTGAGCTTTGAACGTGGGGGCTGGGTATACTCACGGGTAGCTTGTCAGTCTCTCCCAGAGTGGACATGGAGCATATTTGTTTGGGGCGACTCCTAACCGCCTCCCATATACTTCCCAGTCACTTGATTTCAGGCCGAATTAACTCGTAGAATACAATCCATATAAGCAAGGACGCACCCACACACGCATGCATGAATACGCCTAGCAAATACAAAAAGTATGTGCCAAATCTCAGCGCAACAGAAACAGGGAGTCCATCCCCTGGATCGACCTGCGTGGAAAAATAAACCACTAGAAAGGAAGCCTATTCGATTCATTCACTTTGTCTACTTTATCGCCACCATTTTCCCTTTAAACATTGCATCCAATGCATCTCAGGCATGAGATCATGATTTAGCGGAAAGACATTGCCATAACCATTTCTGCTGGTTCGACCTAGAAAGCAGCACAGTGAAACGATTATATCCTAACTGTAAGCAACTCTTGTCTTTCTCTTGCCGAGACTTCTTATTTCATTTTATGGTCTCTTTTACCAATGGGGACTGTCCATAGGGTTACAATGGTCTTTAAAAATATGTAATTAAATTGGAATCTGTTTCTTCGAGTTGCTACTGTTGTTGCTCCGCAGATACCCGAAAGTCGTCTAATAGGTGGTATTGAGACTGAACCGCACCAATGGCCATGGACGGTGCAACTAACATATCGAGGTGCACATCGATGTGGTGGTGCACTAATCGACAGCGAATTCGTTGTGACAGCAGCGCATTGTTTTTCGAAGGAGTACGTCAACTAGTGTTTGCTGATGGTGAATCGTAGGACATCTGAGTGAGATTTCAGTCGAGATCCGGAAATGTATCGCGTCCACGTTGGCGTGCACAAATCCGGCGGTGGTAGAGCTCATTTCGTTCAGAGGATTTCCATCCACCCGCTGTTCAACCTCCTATGGCCGAGTTCGTACGATGTGGCACTGCTGAGGTAATCTCTGAATGCATTATTCTGTCGTGTTCTAGAATGCACCTGTCTTTAGAATTACACCTCCCGTGAAACTAGAGGCTAACAGAAATGTGAGTACAATCTGTTTGCCATCAACTCCTTCAGTCACTCATCAAATGTGTATTGTAACAGGTAAATTGGATGCTTGATAAACACGGACCATCTATGTGCAATTCTAGCCGTAAAAAATAGACATATACCTATTGAAAGAATCTCCATACTATAAAAGGATAAAGGATAACGCTGTCGGCGTTTATCAATCTCTAAAGGATGTACCATGCATTCGACTTCATTAAGCATCGTTGGAGGTGATCGAATGCATATCTGGGCTTTACAATGACTCATGGTGGCCTATCAATGTATCGAGCCAGTGTTGCTAACCTCCCAGACAAGTCGACAAGTCTGGTACCAATTTGCCAGCCCCAGCGGGATGGAGGGCTTGGTGGACCGAGGGCACAGGGATCGATCCCATGGGTATTGCACGGCGCCTCCGACCACTGTGCCACACTCGCCCTATTACACTTTATACTGTATTACATTAGTATTATATCTATTATTAAAAAATAGAAATAATATGTAGGTTGTGGGCAGTGGTTCTTGTCTTCTTTAGTATATCTTCGATGCTTCTAAGGTTGGGAAGTCTATCGCTTGGCTACACTGCGCTGGTGTTCATAATGCTGGTTTCGTGACCCAAATATGCGTATCGAGAACATTCGGTGATCATCGTATTCTTGAGTGATTGAAACAGCCATTGTGCTCTTGTACAAATTACTAGGAGAACTTCAGAAAAGTCTACTTGTCATTCCTAGTCCGTGAAAATGACTGAATTAACGGAGTGGACTCATTCTCTCGGCGATCTTATCGACAAGATCTTATTCACACAAGCCGATAAAAGAATTGTCAAGACCCCAACTTATTGCAATTTTTCGATTTGGTTATTAAATTCGGCGCTTTCTTTTTCTCCAATACGATAAGACTATTTTACGGAATTGTACACGTTCAGGTCAATAGCATCATCACTTAAGCGGAACCTTCCATCTGCTGTAATATCAATTCCAACAATTTCACCATGTTATTGTCCACTGGTTGACGCTCACGTTTAATACTGAAAAGGCGGCTCAAAGTGTTGGTCCATCGTGCTCCGTGAAGCCTGGTGTGAAAACCTTCAGGCGTTGGTCTGTGAACAGATTTAGTGTTGAAGCAGTTGCTAACGACCTTATAGAAGAAACGATGCGTCTTTTGTTCTTATTAAACTGCATCTTGTCCACATTGTGTCTATATTCAAAGAAATCGATTCATAGTCAAGGATCGGACTTGTGTTGTCTTTGCTGCTGTCACTTACAGCGCAAACAACATGGGACATCTCGTTGTTTTGGACAATAGAATAATGTTGTATTTCATCTCATTACTGTTACCATAGGGTTACCAATGGAACCTTTCAATATTACGATGCGTACTTCTTGAGTACCGGCCGCCATCTTACCCACTGCGGAATATGGCAAGCCGAATGGTCCCGAGATTTTAACAGCTTCTACGCACTCGCCTGATCTTATATACGGCTTTACACCTGCCATACTTACCAGACTACAAGTGAGCCTTGTTAAAAGCGATCCAGAACTGTTAGTAAGCTTCTCAAGCACCTGATTGCGCAGTTTTTTTTGCTTGGCATAAATGCAATTACAATGTTTATATACTAGAAAGGAGCGCGTTTATCGCAGTGGTCGAACGCACCCTGCCAATACACCTGGAATTGAACCAAGCACCCCAGGTCCACCAAACCTTACATCTCTCTGAGGTCGACGAAATGGTACCGGACATATCTGGGAGGACAGCAGCAGCACTGACTCCATACATCGGCAGGCCACCACGGGACATTGTAAGGGCCAGAAATGCATTCACTCACCTTCAATGATGCTTAATGAAGTCGAATGCATGGCGCATCCCTCAGAGCTAGATCGATGCCGAGATTTTTATCCTTTATATAGAAGATTAGAATCGATCCGGCGCATTACAACAAGAATAGTTAACTCATCTAATGAATGTACTTGCACCTTATTTTACAAGATCCGTATTTGTCAATATATACACAACATACATATATATATACATATATATAATATGTGTGCAGTGACGTCGTCGTTGTGTTGTGGTATTTCGATGTAGGTTGGGGATTGACTTCTGAAAACGGACGGAAGGCGGATGTGCTTCGAGAGATTCATGTTCCTATCATACCATTCGCACAATGCAACGATCTCGCTCATTATGCTGGACGGATTCATCTACCTTCCATGTTATGTGCTGGCTACACCCAAGGCATAATTGACTCATGTCAAGTAAGATTCATTTTCGTTTCATAAAGGTCGGTTCTGCATGCATTATATATTGAAATCAGCAAGAATATCACGCGATGTCTGCACTTCTAGGAATTTCAGGGAGATTCGGGTGGACCGTTGATGTGTCCAATATTGGGTCGATGGGAACTGCACGGATTGGTGAGTTGGGGAATAGGATGTGGTCGAGCGGGACATCCCGGGGTGTACGCAAAGGTCGACGCTGCTCTCCCGTGGATTCTGATCGAAATGAATATTCTGCGACAATAAGTTTGTCGTCGTATCCACTAATGTGTCTTCATTATGCTGAGTTTATGCGTAAATTTGAAGGCACTCGGTGAAGTAAAGTGTCCTATGTTCTATGAAATAGATAGTCAAGTAGATATACGAACACACATTTGTGTAACTGGAAACGAATGACGAGCGCCTACCGTAATACAGTCGAGTAAATCTGTAAATAAGATGTTCTAAGCAAAACTATATTTTTCTGTATGTTGTATTGACATCTATTACTATAGAGTTTCATACAATGTAGCAAAGATACTGTTAGATTTACAATGAATAACAATCTTAAGCGAAATTTATGCCAAGTCACAATATATCAGACCAATACAATGCCAGACACAGTATGTTAATCCAGTCCAAAAGTTCCCCGAAAGCGATGACGTGCAGGACTGAAACAATGGCTGGATGGTTTATTATAGCCTAAGCCAGATAGAGTTACAAATCCACGTTACATATGACGTCATATTTGATTGTACAATCTAAACAAAATGACTGCAATGATATGCATTTTGGTTGTGAACAGGGAAATGTAGTAATTTATACATAGTGGTATTAAGGTTATTCTACCAGGAATGTAAAATATACATTTTACTATGTTTTATAAGAAAATTATTAGCAAGAGAATCGATAGCAAGTGGACTGCGTTTACACTCCAAAAGGAAAACTTGGACACCAAAGTCACTTGGTATTTACAGAAAGCAAAACAAGGAAAAGAACGGACCGTGGTAAGCAGTTCTATACTTCTAGGAAATAAATGGTACAGATTGGTGGCCGTCCGTCTTCAAGACTAGAATGAGGTGATAGGTAGGCTAAATACAGTTGCAAAGATAGTGAAGGTGTGCAGTGTTTCTGAGAAGGCTGAGTGACAAGAGGAGTCGTATCACATCTTCCGTCTGGTGGCGGTGAAACGCTGCTGATACTCTTCATATCCCGGCAAGTCTTGAAACTCTCGCTCTTGAAATATATTTCCAGCGTAGCATATTATGCTAACAGAGGACTCTGAGAGTAGACTAGTGGTGAACTCGGTCTTCGCCAAACAATTTTCTTCTACTCGAAGAATCTTCAAGTGCTGACACCTAACCAGAACATCAGCATTCAAGAAGTTGAGTTGATTTTGGTTCAAGTTCAACTCTGATGCGTTGAGTAAACTCACCTGTAATGCGACTTTATCAAAATGAATCGGCATAAAGCATTCTCATTTCACTACGATGTTGAGACGTTTGCAAAACTCCGGACGGCAGGTGTCTGCAGTGGCGATCGAATAAGCTATTATCCTTTCCAGGGGCCAAAGAGTTTACCAGCACACCATGCGCGTCCTTTGTTTCTCCTTTCTCTCAGCTAGCTTTCTATCTGCCAATGGAATCAGCAATTCCCCGTCAATGGGATTGATCTGGTGAACCCAAGTCGACATTGAACCCAGTTAAGCTAAGCCTGCAGTCGTAATCATTATCACTTCATCTTAACCTTTTTATTTCCTGCCTATTCTTTTCAACGGCAGGGTATGTTGCGAAATATAACTTCTATAATGCCGAGATATTTGCAAAACTTCGGACCGCAGATGTTTGCGGTGGGGAGCGAACGCGCTATTGTCCTTTCCGCGGAGTGACGCGTTCACCACCACATGCGGGTCCTTCGTTTCGCCTGTCCCTCAGCTAGTTCTATCGATCTTTTGCCATCAGTAATCGCCCGTCAACGGGATTGATCTGGGGAGACCAAATCGGCATTGAACCCAGTTAAACTAAGGCTATAGTTATCGATAAAACTAGCTGAGAGACAAGCTAAATGAAGGACCCGCATGGTGTGGTGATGAACGCGTTACCCGCCGGAAAGGACAATAGCGCGTTCGTTCCCCACCGCAGACACCTGCAGTCAGGAGTTTTGCAAATATCTCAGCATTATAAAAATTACCACTTCATTTAAAAGACAACTGCAAATGTATTAAAGCTTCAGAAACAAATGATACTAGTCGTCAAACAGGAATCCATAACCCTTGCAGAATGACCAAAACAAAAGAAAACCATAACTTCGGTAACTAAAATTCCACCAGTGGTGTACGGTTTCTTAAGGAACCTAAGACAAAATCTACTGCAATTTCAGATCCAGCAAAATTACCTCATCAGGCAGTTCAGTGATCGAATTCTGCGAAAGATTCAACGTATCCAATGACATCAAATGACAGACAGGCACAGGAAAATTACTGAAGCGGTTGGCAGAAATGTTGAGTGTCTTCAGCGATGAACAACCCATGATGGTTTCAGGTAGGGTTGACAGTTTATTCGATTGAAGATTGAGAATCTCCAGATTTTTAAGTAAACCAATTTCATCAGGTAGCACACCTTCAACAATGAATACATTTGCACAAACAAATAAGTAATAATAAAACTTTCTACGCCTTACTGATGACGTTTCCAGCCAGGTGTAACTGTTTCAGAGCAGAAAAATGCCCAATACTTGGTGGTAGGTCTCTGATCTTGTTTTGACTCAATTCGAGATTTCGGATGATTTCTTGGAGCTGAAAGAAGAAATGTCAGAAAAAATGAACTCACTAGAAATGATAGAATTAGAGAGGAAGTAATAGCAATAGGAGTCCTCTCAACGGATCACCGCCTCATCGTGGCTGGGAGAAGCTCTTGGGTGTTGGGCGGCGATGTATACAGGGAATTTAACTCCCAAGGAGGGTCTTCCAAGCTGAGAAGGAGTCCGACGTTTGCATCAGGAAGCACAGCTAAGAGTAAACCCATACTAGGATCTACCACCGTCCTGCTATCAAACTAGTCGCATGGTGGCAAATCTCCCTCTGCTTCATACGGGCGGCGACTGCCTATGGTGGTGAAGACCTGGGGCAGACTTTGGCTAGGCTGACCTTAAGGCTCCATAGAAACACAATGGCTGAACCAGAAATACTCTGAAAAATGGAGAATATGCTGAGGCGCACAACCAGTAAGGACGGGGTGACCATGAATCCAAGTAGGTAAGTGCTAAACTAGCAAGTAATTGTAGTAGGAATTGTAGTAGTAGAAGTAAATGAACACGAACCTCTTCCAAAGGTTGTGGAAAGGACTTCAGTCCACATGATTTCAGTTGTAGGATTCTGCTTTTTCGTGCATTCTCGATATGCCGCTGTATCGTAGCGTTCGATGGACCTGCACGTAAGCCTAAACAATTCATAGACGATCAATCTAAGCATCCAACTTTACCTACTTCGAATCTGTACCTAATGAAGAAGCTACTCCTTTCCCGGAATGTGTCGCTTTCGACGATTCGTTTCCCATGTTTGCGGAAAACGCTTCAAAGGAACCTTGCAATCTTAGTAGAACAAGCAGAGCACCCACAAGGGTTCCTCTGATAAATTCTACTATTCGTGGTCACCGAAGCGACGATAACTTCGTAATTGTGCTTCCAAAGGAAAACAGTTCAAGAGACCATGGAGACCTGGCAAAATATCGAGGAAACATAGTCCACATGAAAGTGATGACAACGTAGGAACTAAATAAATTTTGGTTTAGAAAGTTAAGAAAGTTAGTTACCAAAAGGCGTCATACTAGCAAATGTCCCTTAACCTGACAGCTATGGCGAGCGAAACATGGTATAGTACATAATAGACAATGATGAACTAACGAGAAACAGGGCTAAAAATCCGTACTATCGACCAAACAGTGGCGAGTGTAGCGCAATGGTCGGAGCCGCCCTACAATATACATGGGATCGATCCCAGTGCCCCGACTTACCAAGTCTTCCATCCCTCCGGGGTGGCCAAATTGGTACTAGACCTGTCTGGGAGGACAGCAGCACTGGCGCGATATACTGGCACGCTACGGCGAGTCATTGTAAAGGCCAGATATGCATTCGATCACCTCCAACGATGCTTAATGAAACCGAATGCATGGCGCATCCCTCAGGGATTGTTCAACGCCAAGGGTTTTATCCTTTGTCCTTTTTTCGATCGATCGTAGCTATGCTTAACAGTCTCCAAACTCAACCTCAAAATTTCCTAGAAGTTCAACTGCGAACGCCACCCATACAAGGTTACGACCACGTTGCAGTCAAAGGCATACTTCGCAAAGAATTCTAATGCATGAAGTCGAAGAAACATAAGGAAAGACAAACGTTTGGTCTATGCTGAACAAAAGAACCACCTTTAGTGATTAGGAATCCATGGTTAGCAGGGTTAGATACAAAAGAAATATCAGGAACCAAAACGAGCCTTTCAGAGGATGTGAGACCCTGTTTGGTTTTCTTTATACTTATAACCAGGTACTGCTCTGAAGTATAGAGTAGTGCTATGGAAAGGCACCTGGAAGGGAAGAATCAATGAACTCGGTGTTATTGAACCACCACTGAACGCTCTAGTCCTAAGCCGCATTTGCGACCATCCTCACCCGTGTATGACACAAAACTGCACACCCTGCCCGAACGGCAGAGGACATGTCGGGAGTGGGGAAGGAGACGGGGGTTGGGGTTGGAGTTGCGGTTGGGACCGCACGAGTTCGAGCGTTTAATGCAAGGACGTCTTTGTGTCTGCATAAGGGAACAGCTTGTTGGAAAATGTGAAACTTACTTGGACACTTGGATATTTGGATGGACTGTCTTCACTGGTCGTGCTGTCCCTAGCATAATTTTCACTTTTTCGGAGTTTCGCTGGCTCATCCATTGTGGTTCCCTGAAGTCCCAATGTCAGCCTAGCCAAAGTTTGCCCCAGGTGGTGACCACCACAGGCAGTCGTTGTGGATCAAAGGGAGATTTGCCACTATGTGACTAGTTTAATACCAGGACGGTTACGCTTAGCTGGTCTTCCTAATGGAAACACCGGACTTTTTCTCAGCTTGGGAGACCCTGATGGAAGGATGAATCTCTTCACTGTACATCGCAGCCGAACACCCAGAAAAACCTTCCAGCCATGATGAAGCAGTAAACTGTTGGGAGGAATGTGAAACTAAGACAAGGTCTTCATTACGTTACAAAAGCACAGTAAGGAAGATTCCCAAAGGTACAATCATGGCATAGGAATGTAAAACTTTAAAGCTCGAAACACTAGAGGCCTTCTGGGCAGACATCACAAACCTGCAAGGAGAAGGACATATTGATTTTTCATAAGGCGTAATCTCGTACAATATCTATTTTAGCCTATTTTAGGGTTGGTATTTTAGCCTAAAACAAGCACATTCCTCATTCTCATGAAAATTCCGCATGGGTGACTTCACAAACCCTAGAGCCGCCATGAGTTATGCGCAGCTATAAAATAGCGACTGCTACAGGATGGGTTGCTCACCAAAAAGCAGATCATTTTGAATGGTGAGTTGACTAACATCCGTCCTGTGCGAGAGGGTACCGCAGTGTGTGGGAACTTCATTGGAGCGGCACTTCCCTCACTAGATTCGACTTTGTGTGACAACGAACACCCACATCGCCACGACGAGCAGATTGAGACCGTCGATTCAGGTCAACGCGGCTCTGAAGAAGGTTAAGGCGCTAAGCGTTAGCCGAAGAAACCTTACCACCAGCCTTGTATCAGCTTGATAGTCCACCGGAGTACTTAGAAGTGTGTTGGTAGCACTTGGGGCCCATCATGAGTCATCAGGACTTATGTTTCGCCAGAATTGATTGCATCGTTCGTATTTAAACGATTATATCTCAGCTCATAAAAAGCGTTCCAAAGCGAAGCAAAACCACTAAAATTCACAGATTTCTAACAACAAAATGGGATTTTTCACATTCTACCACAATGAGATTCTGATTTTTCAGAGTCCAGGACCTTACTTTTCCCCTTTCCTTTCGTGGAAGATGGTATTTTCAGCAAGAACGCAGGCAGCAGGGCAGGTGGTGTACTGCAATGTAGCGTTTATTTTCACGGCTGTAACACTCGCCTCGAGCCTCAGGAAAAGAAATAGATCACTATTCTTTCAAAAAATTCGTGACGAAACCATGCAAAGTTCGGCTAAACTATTTGTACCTCAGAACAGCACATCGAACTCTCTGACACAAGCATCTCATGTTCTACAGTCCTTAGGTGCTCTCTTTATTGAAGAGTTATCGGGAGTGACTTGGAAATTAACATCTGATTCCACGCTAGGAAAAACTGCTTAATTTTGTCCCAAGTTTAAGCCTTTTCTTCCTTTGAAATTGCGGAAATATTCGGCTCAGTACGCTTCTATTCCTGATGGCAGTTTGTTTCAAGCACGGTAATGTCCCCGGCGTTCATTCCATCATCATCCGATAAGTCATTTTTAGTTACGAATCACCAAAAACGTCGGCCCACTGAGTGACATGCCGTCCCGGAGGATGTTTGTCCTGGTGTAGCCTGTTTTCTTCATTGTACAATCGACCCATCCATTTCGCTCGCGACGTGTTTTTTGTGGACCTCGAAGATGGGGTAGCTTTTTGGATTCAAAGCTGCGAATTCCGACTAGATGTGTCGTGTGTGCCCGCGTGTATGTGTGTATATGTGTGTGCATATGTATTGTATATGTATGTGTTTGTATACGCATATGTACAGATTTCAAATCCGGAACTTGTGGGGAAGGATCCACATGACATTTGATATCGAGTCGTGCGAAAAAAATGAAGAAGAAATGTAGTACCACTCGAATTAGTTCCATCCGTGCTCATATGTGGCCAATTTTGACAAAAGTCTTACAACACGGATTTCTGGAACGGTTTCTTTCCTTAAAAAGTATGCAAATACGAGGATGCTTCGATTTGAGCAGAACTCGGAACAACTGGGCTTCGAACTCGCGATTACCCTTTCCGAGGGCTCATGTGCTATGCCCTGCTTTCCTCTATACCTTGTTTCAACTCTATTGATGCTATCAGCAACCACCCATCAAAGAAAATGATCTGGGAAGTACAAATCAGCATTGAGCTCATTTGAGCTGAAGCTGCATTTGAAACCGCAATGTCTTAATTTTTATTTGCTGCTTACTACTTTTTAGCTGTTTATTTATTTATTTACTAAACATCTGCAGACAAATCGAAAGAGTGACTCAAATTATAACGTCATCTGACAGCAATATTTTACAAGCATCCTTTCTGCGAGACAAACGATGCATTCGATGATCATTCGGCTAAAGCTTCACCTCTTCGAGCCATAAAATGACGAATGGCAGTGACAATATATACTAATAGTAATAAGGCCACAAATATATCGTCCATCAACCCTAAAATGGTTTTGAAGTGCAGGAAATGAATAGTATACCGTACAATGTTGACTTTTTTTATTTACTTCCTACAATTTCCACTCCAGGGTACTAGGTGAAATACAACCACAATGATGCTGAGATATTTGCAAAACTCCGAACCGCAGGTGTCTACAGTGGGAATCGAAACCACTGTTACCCTTTCCGGCGGCTAACGCGTTTACTATCCCACCACGATAGCACTTCGTTTCGCCTTTCTCTCAGCTAGTTCCCTACACCGTATAATATTTGGGGAAATTGAGTATGTGAGATGTAAATGATAGTACTGACCGATAAACCCATAAGCCGATTCCGGAATTATATCAAACGGCGACAGCACATATGCAACTATACCGACAATAATGAAAAGTATACGAAACCTGAAAGGAAAACAGATGAAAAACCGAAAAACAAACCATGAAATCGTAACCAAACTAACCGGAACATGATCATAAAGCCATTGAAGTCGAACAAATTCCTCAGTATATAAGGTATTAAAACAGGAAGGTCCCATAAGTACTCCAGCCACTGGAACCATACCAGGTGGTTTTTAGCATGATGGACACGTAGAAATAAAGTCACTAACAGGACGGTCACCAGAAAATCTCCTGTTATAGTCATCGAGACTAATGTTGTTCTCTTGAAGTTGACTATCCTCTCCATCACTAGGCCAATGCAAAGGAAGTAGTACAGTTACCTGAACTGCTAAAAAAAGTAAACACAGCTCTTTAGGACCAATATATTATATCTACAATACAAAAGCGATTTCAAGACAGCAACTTTAACTACCAGGAAAGCCAACCTCTGTCCGACAAATTGCACATCGAACCGGAGTAACTAATGACGCTGCATGTCTCCAATATCCCATTATACATTCACCTTTAAATCACTTCTGATGAGATGACTTTTCACAAACTTAGCTAGAAACAAAATTAGATAAGGTAAGACCTCACAGCAGAATACATGACCACAGTTCGTGAGAATTGGGTAAAGAGCTGTTCCATAACAAATAGGGCAAGTTTGATCTGCATCTGGAGCTTCTGCTGCGAGTCTCTGAAGCTACTACATTTACTAAGTGGTAATAAAGCTAAAACACCTTTGTAAATCATTATTTGTAAGAAATAGAAGCACTCGTAATTCTACTCCAAACCTCGTTAACAGATTCATAGAGATGATTTCTAAGCCAGAAATTGAAGGCTTCCAAGAGAAGACGAATTCCAGTTTCCATCTCTACCTTTCGTACACTACAAGTTTGCAGCAAATGCATATCCCTACAAGGAAGTAATCATAAAGTATTTTGTTGTATTCATGAGCTTAGACGTTGTAGCCCAACTCTGTTGCAGCTAGCGTTTCGGCCCCTACAGAGCTCTAAAGATTCGAACCAAGTGCCCACAGCAGTTCTCCTTTGCAATGTGGACATTCGCAGTCCGGCCAACTTGGATGTAACATTGCACGAATGAACATTCCATAATCCTTTTACGCAACTCGTCTTCACATCTAATGTCCCGATCCCAGCACTTTCTGTATTCGATTCGTTTCCTCTCATCCGTCACCCACGAACCTCTTCGAACATTGCGCGTGTGGGTTCGGCTGCTGCTTGAAGATGGTCGTCTTCCTTAAGAACGCCGCTGAATACTGGCTGAGTTGACTCCCACTGGAGCTCTGGGATGACCGAGCTACAGCGGCCCCATGTGAATTGCAATGTATGGATTGTTACGGGACCTTTCTAGTAGCAACTTCACAACCAAAAGGGGCGGTACAGAACCAGCATCGTGCTTGTAATGAATGGCATCGCTATCATTGTGCAACCCCCACTCTCTATAGCTTAAGAATACAACAAAATATTGATTACTCATGCCAGGGCTAAATGAAATTCGACTTCCAAAATAAAAACACATTGCTAATATAACAGCAGAGGCAAAAAAGAGGGAGAAAAGCACGCACACTGGTGTTGTTTACTCGCCCGCTCTGGCCACGTATGAAGGATTCCCGAAATCCTTGAACGTCTCCGACCAAATCCGGATGGATGCGATTCGCTCTGGTATTTCTGAAATTTTCTTCAATAAAAGTACACTGCGGTAATGAACCTGAAGACTACTGACCAACTAACCTCCACAGATAATTGGCTGTGCATACTGCAAAACTCGCTATCAATATACTAACTAGGATAAGAGCTTCGTTGCTGAATCCTGAACTAAACTTGATCAACACTGTACTAAACTGACTTTCACTTAACTTCAGCGTGATCAATCAGTAGATTTCTTTGAATGGTTCAGCTTACACGACGCTGTTATACAATAACAGCTATACTTGGATACTTCGATGGCCCATCCTCACTGATTGTGCGGGCCCCAGCACAATCTCCAATTTTCGGAGTTTTGCTGTTTTAGTTATTGTGTTCCCCTGGAGCCCCGACGTCAGCCTAGCCCAAAGTCTGCCCCGGGTAGTCACTACCAAAGGCAGTCGCATCCCTTGTGGATCAGAGGAAGATTTGCCGCTATGCGATTAGTTCGACACCAGGACGGTGGTCGGTTCTGGTATTGGTTTATTCTTAGCTGGGCTTTCTGATAGAAACGCCTTAGGAGGAACAACAAGTATAACTAGGTACAACGACCTCGTGTAAGCTGAACAGTCCAAAGAGGTTTAAACTTTTTCAAATTGGAAACGCTCTGAAAAAAAAATAAGGACATTAATAAATGACTCTGTACCTTCGACGACTGGTTCACCAATGCTTCCTAACATTAGTCTGACGTCAGGCAACTGGGAAGAGGTCAGATAACAAAGCACTTCCAGAAATCGCAACAAGTACTACGAATGACTGTCCATAACTGCTGAAGGTTTCGCAGGCATTGGTGAGATTGCGTCACCCACAGTGGAGTGACGTCACATTTTAAAGCGAATGACAACGTTGACTCTGTGGAGGCTCGTCTGATTTTCCTCTACTTCCGAATTTCTGTAGAATCCGATTTAAGCATGGAAGCAGTCAAACAGAAGAAGTTACGGCCAAAAGAACGGACTTCAGCTGGAAGAAATGCAACAGTCTCATCTCGGCCAGCAGCTATTCTAGAGACGAGGTTGCCGGACATCCCATGTCACGAGCCCTGCAGAACGACCACCCCCGAACCAGAGGAAATGTGAGTTTCTGACCAGTTAGCACCTAATCAGGGCGTCCAGTGCCTTAATGTTTCATCCTGTTTGAGGGGTTCTTTTGCGCATAGAATGACATTGTACGGCGTGGATTGGTCCTCTGAAAGGTTATGGAAGCTGACCATAAGTCCGATGTTCCTGTTAAAAAGCAATCACTAATAGTAAGTGCTAGAGTAAGGTCATAGTCGTCGCCGTCCCAGAGAAAGCCAAGTTGCTAGCTGGCAAACCTCACCCGTCAACAGAGGCCAGCGAATAATTATGCTGATTATCTGTGGACGTTCTTGCACGAGTTTTTCAGAATCGCGGGTAGAACTTTTGCCAAAATACGAATATACCTTAAAAAATCAACTTTCTTTAAACCTTAACGTTAATATTTAAAGAATGAAGTAGCAAAGGTGGTCTCACACATTAGAAATGGGTGTGTAGAAGGCTCTCGAAGTCTTCGAAACGTCAGCCACCTAGTCACAACGACAACAACAATAGCATCTGATACCATTCTCGCGTAAGCTCAAGAAATGCAGTTCGTAGGAGTACGAAGATACCATCTAAATAGGAAATATGCTGGGGTCTGTATGATTTCTCATCAGGAAATGAAAAAACACTGTAGCATGAGTCGAGGTCAATCGCAGTTGAGGTGGTGGGTTGATATCTGTACGTTTAGCACTCTCCGTTGTTTAGTGTTCTGTCAGATAATGGCCAGCAGTCGATTTCTACGCTTGAATCATGTGCTACTGCAAACCCTTCCGCTGGTAGCGCATTCCTTCGAAATCATGAATCCGGATCTGAGGAATGGTTCGTTGTACAATTCATTAATCTTCTTAGTTGATCTCCGCTGTAATGCTATAATGGTCCTTTGAACTTCCATTATAGTTCCATGTACAATTTAACCTAGCTTTTTTGTGTCTAAAGTGCTAAAAGTTTACTTGTAGTAGGTGTTTTCACCACTTTCACCACTAAAATCCGTTGACAGGCAAAAATTGTCTAGTGAGGTCAATTACAAAGTGACACTACCATCGCAGAATCTATTTATGTATGAGAAAATGCTAGGAATATATGATGGAATACAAAGAATATATGATGCTGAGATATTTGCAAAATCGTGCTGGTGTCTGCGGTGGAGACTGAAAACGCTACTACACTTTCCGGGGGCTAACGCGTTCACCACCATATCACTGGAGCCCTTCGTTTCGTCTTTCTCTCAGCCGACTTATGCTAGTGATGCCAGGAATCCCCACAACTCTAGATGAGACAAGTGTCGTATAACACCATATAGCACGTATATTCGCCTTCCAATCTCTCAAGTAAATGCCAAATAAATTGCTGCAAAACTTGGCAGAGGATACGAAGTTGGTACAGTACAGTGGTGCATGTAGCGCATTGCTCGGAGGCGCCTTGCAATACACATGGGAACGATCTCCGTACCCTAGGCCACCAAGCCCTTCATTCCTTTGGGCTCGGCAACGTGATACCAGCCTTGTTTGGGAGGATAGCAACACTGGCTCGATACATCGGTAGGCCACCGCGAGTCGTTGTGCAGGCCAGATATGCGTTCAGCCACCGCCAAACGATGCCTTGTTAAGTCAAATGCATGGCGCATCCCTTAGGAATTGATCAAAGCCGAGAGCTTTATCCTTTTTTATCTCTATATATTAACATGTCTGAGTCAAGAGAAAAGTGAAAAGTACGCAAGTAAATTGGCCTTCGTTAGTTTATCATTTTATACATATCTTATTTAATTTATCACCTTATTTATGCACTATAGTTTGATAAAATTGAAGCATACCCATGGTGGAGGCTTCGTCAATGGCGGCAGAAGTTCTCGCTCACGAAATTGTTTGCTATCCTTCAATTGGTCGTCTTACCGAAGACTTGCATTCGCCGTACACACCCATGGCTGCACCGGCGTACGAAGATACCTCGAAGAGAAACATGGAAAATGTAATGGTTCGTTTATTAGGTGATAACTTGTTGCGTATAGAGGATTTTCAGAGCAAGCCTTTATTCGATGCTCTGATGGACGCTGACGCACCTTTTTTATATCCGACGTTGGCTAATTTGCATTACGAGAAGGACAAGCATGGTTTGCTGACGGAACAGAATCTATTGGCTTTCTATCACAACCCACTCTACATGATGAGCGACCAGTTTGTCGAGAAATTTGTCCAGGTAGTGTATTGATTGATTTTCATCCGTTATATTTGCGGGTAGTTTAATGTGTTTCTCCTAAATTGCCTTTTTATGATTGCTGTTCTGATGTCAAAGCGAAAATGCAGTATCTAGGGAAATGAAACTCGGGTTCAAGAAAACAACTATGCATTAATCCTAAGATAGTACGTTTTCAGGATAACCTGACACCTTCTGGTCCTATTTTTTCTTTGCTCAAACGTCTAAAGCAGCTGGCCGAGCTGATGTCTATAAATGAAATAAGCGAGAAGGAGAACACGAAAAAGTTGACGAAGTGCTTATGCGATTGTTGGGTTGTGGAACAGCAGACAGTTGAAAGCAAGGCAAGCTTATCGGTTTACCCATATATCCTTTTCTTTGGAAATTTCACGAGTTAGTGTGATGTAGATGTAATGGGCGCGTGTCGCGCAGTGGTCGAAGGCGCCCTACAATACATATGGGGTCGATTCCTGCGCCCTGGCCCACCAAGCCCTTCATTTCTCCGGCGTTGGCAAGTTAGTACCAGACTTATCTGGGAGTTTGGCAGCACTGGCTCGATACATCGGTAGGCCATTGGGAGTCATTGTAAAGGCCAGATATGCATGCAATCACCTCCAACGATACTTAATGAAGTCGAATGCATGGCGCATCCTTCAGGGATTGATCTACGCCGGGATCCTTTATCCTTTAAGCTTTATCGTCTATCCTTTAAAATGGACATCTAAGACCGATAGTTTATTTCACCGTTCTTTATGACTTTCCAGTTTGATCCTGTATGTATAAAAGCCCTGGAAAGCTTGGAAAACATCTATTTGCTTTTAGGGAAGATGTGGTGAGAATAAGGAAGCGCACGGAATGGCGCACTTCCACAAAACCACTTTACGTTCGGAGAAGGTCGACGAATTGAAGAATTTGCTTTCTGCCAATCGTACTCATCTGCTTGATGAGCGTCTTTGTCTGGAAACGCAGTTTCGGTCTACTGCTGTGCAAGTAAGTGAGCTGGAGTTCAATTCTTACGCTTTTTTCGAAGTTAAGTTTTTAAGGTCCAATGGTTTGTGATCTTTATAAACCAGCAATTCATGGAAGAAAATCGCTTGTCGGCTCATAGTCCTCCAAATTGTCTGTTACACTTTTCTACTTTGTTAATGCTTGGCTGCCTGGATATCTATTTAGTGCTTGAGAATGCTGTCAATTCCAATGGTAGGGTTTTGCTACTTACTGCTTTATCGGATCTGTTTTTTCATCTGAGATTTCCTGTATTGCCTAAACGGGTCACAGACGTGCTTATCAGTTGGGTACAGGAACTGGTGGGTTGAATAATTATTGGTTGTTACTATTCTTCTACAAGGATTAACTATTTGGTTTTTTTTTGAGGTCTGTGTTCTGTATATGTGTTGCCGATGTGAGGATGCACAATTTGTTCTCAATCATTTGCTTCGACTTCCTTCACCTATTGTGGACTGGGCGCCACCTTTAGTTCAAACTTTTATACAGGTGAATTTCTTATGATCGAAATACCTTGTCCGACCTGTCGATTTCGAGACGAAGCCACCTGAAAAGTGAATAAGGTTTTTCTTTCAAAATGCAAGTTTGCTTAATATTTTATATAGTAACTGCCACGACCGACTTTCTATTAACCTCGGCATTGATCAAGTGATTTTCTTCGTATTTCCGTTGAGCAAACGCGAGGTGTTACTATTCTTTGTTCACGATTAAGCTGACGTTTCGGC